AGCTTTCTTTGCCACATTTGTTTATGCACCCATTTGTCTTCAGTGATCCCTTCGACACCTTGTGATCATACAGGCTGATATGTTCTTTCATGTGGGCTTTGTTGCTTCTGAGCTAGATGGCCACTTGTTTACCTTCAAGCTTTTAAGACCCCAGATGCTATATTTTTGATAGCCGGGCACCATCAGCTTTCTTCACCACATTTGCTTATGCACCCATTTGTCTTCAGTGATCCCTTTGACACTAGATCGTTGCACATTTTATTATTACTTTACATTGTCTTCTTTAGCAGCCCTTTGAAACCTTCTGTTCAGCTCTTTTGACTTCATTTTGTTCATTCAGTTGAACTACTCTGCATTCAAGAGCAGGTTTCAGAGTCTCTTCTGACATATACTTTGGTCTTTTCTTTCTTTTTTGTCTCTTTAATGACTTTTTGGTGTTTGGAAATAAGATGTCCATTCACAACTCATGATTTTTGGTCATTGGTGGTCAATACTTCAAATCTATCATTGAGACATTCTCAAAATTTAGATGGAATATAGCTGAGGTTGTGTTTTGGCTTTCATGGGCTTGTTTTAATCTTCTTGAGCTTCATCTTACGCTTTCACATGAGCAGTTGATGGTCCGTTCCATAGTTGGCCTTTCACCTTGTTCTTACTGATACTGAACTTCTCCATCATCTCTTTCCATAGATGTAGTCAATTTGATTCTTGTGTATTCCAACCGGCGAGGTCCACGTGTATAATTGTCGTTAGTATTGAAAAAAGGTATTTGCAATGAATTGGTCTTGCAAAATTCTGTCATGTAATCTCTGGCATTATTTTCATCACCAAGACCATATTTTCCAACTGCTGGTTCATCTTTGTTTCCAGCTTTTACATTCCAGTAACCAAAAATTATCAATGCATGTTGACTACATGTTTAATCAATTTTAGACTCTGGAAATTGTTAGAAATCTTCAGTGTCCTCATTGTTGGCAGTAGTGGTTCGTGTGTAAATTTGAATGATAATTCATTTTTCTTGTATGCATATGGGTATTACCTACTATCACTAACAGCACTGTACTTAACAATGGTGTGTGAAATGTTCTCTTTGTCTGTGAGTGGGACAGCATTCCTCTCTTTGTCCTCGGCATAGTAAACCATGTGACAGTCTGATTCAGTATGGCCAATACCAGGCTGTTTCAGCTCATTAGTGCTTAGTTTCTGATCTGTATATGTTCCACTTCATGTTTTTCTACTTTTAGTTTTCTAAATTTATAATTTGTACATACCACTTTCAGTTTATTCATGGATAATTTGCAGCTCTTCTCATTGTGTGTCATGCTATACTAGGCAGCGTAGTCTTGAAAGCTCTACCCATGCCCTTGAGGTCATTAAAATCATTGAGGCAGGTAACCTACCAATCTAAGAGTCTCATTCCAGCATTGTATCAGACAATGTTCTGCTGCTATTCAGGCTTTCACAAACCAAATTCTTTTTAAATCGTGTTATTGGGGCCTCATACAACTCATCACAATCCATCTATCCATTGTGTCAAACACATTTGTACATTTGTTGCCAGCATCATTTTCAAAACATTGTCTTTCTACTTGAGCCTTTGGTATCAGCTTCTCATTTTTTCCCTTTCCTCCCCCAGCCTCTCTCCCACTCATGAAGCCTTGATAATTTATAAATTATTATTATTTTTTCATGCCTTGCATTGACTTCAGGGACTAATTTTTATAGAAGTCAATCACCATCTCATAGTACATCTGTGTGACTGAGTAGAACTGCTCCTTAGGGTTTCTGAAATTGTAAATCTCTTCCTTAACGCAGCTCATGAGTTTGAACTGTCAGCCTGTGGTTAGCAGCATCCTGTATCACCAACACAGCTTTATTAGTTTAGAAGCACTACTTGTCTACCATGGATATTCTGCTTGGTATGTGTAATTTTCATCGTATATCTTCCAGGATCATAACAGCATGGAAGTTAATATAGTAGGACAAAATGACAGCTAAGTGAATTGTTGGCAGGTATATGTTAGCATTAAATTCATAGAATGAGAAAAAGTTTCTCTAGTTGAACAGGTTATGTTAAAATTGGCTATTTTGTTTCATTTTGTGTATTTTTTTTTCAATTAAAAAAAAACTTTTGTAACTTAGGTGAAGGTTTACTGAGGCTCATCAATTTTTTTACATCCAACAATTCATATGTAATTTGTCTCAACTTAGACATTTCAGTCCCCTTAATGTACCATCACTCACCACCCCCCTTACTATCTGTCTTTTTGTTTCCCTAACCTGTTGAAATTTGTCCTTGGATAAATGCTGCCCCCTTGACCTTGAATGGGTCAGTATTCTAACCTGGGAGTGAGTTCAGTTCCAGATCTGAAGGGTGACTTAGGGCGATAGTCTTGGTTCCTGCCAGTTTCTCACTTTTTAAAAGAGAGCATCTTAAGTACTTTTAGATAACTTAGAAATCAACAAAAAGTCCATCTCCATTTTAGATAGGCTAAAGTATTCAAAGTTACATTTATGTAATTATAATTCTATGTTACCTAATTGAATGCATTAGTTATATTTGTGAGCATTTTTAACATACTATTTTCTACATGAGTATTGCTATCTATAAATGGATGTTTAAGTTTCTAGAGAACGTTGGCCCTCAAAAGTAAGGGAAAACAACTTAAAGTGTTTAAATATCATAACTAATAATGTTTTTACTACCCCGTTTCCCCGAAAGTAAGACATCTCCCCAAAATAAGATCTACTTACAGTTTTGCCTCTCGCTGAAATATAAGGCATCCCCCTGAAAATAAGACCTCCCCGAAAATAAGCCCCCCGCAGCTACCATGACTGGACCATGGTGGCAGGCACTGCTGCACAGCTCACTGTTGGCCGCAGCACAGCTGGAGCATACAGAAAGTGCGAAGTCTCTTTTAATAAAACAATAAACAATAAATGTGTACCGTATTCATGGAAACATAAGACATTCCCTGAAAATAAGACCTAGCACATCTTTGGGAACAAAAATTAATATAGGACACTGTCTTATTTTCGAGGTAACTGGGTATTACAGGATAGTGAGAAGTATAATCACTTGTGTCTAGGTTATAATTCTGGCCCCCCTTTTCCCCTGTATTTAAGTACTTTAAACAACAAAACATTGACAATTACATTGTGTCTATTTTTAAGATAGAATGCCATCTAATAAGGTAGACTGTGGTATTGTATATGCCATCTCATTTAAGACGTGATATTGTAGACAAATTTAAACAAAGATAGAACCAGTGGTGTTATTAAGTGATATTTCTGTTAGAAGGAAATAAGCTGCCTGTGCAAATACTGCAGAATCCTTTAAGAGAACTATATACTGTCAGCCTTAAAATAATCTACCAGAGATATCAGTCAAGTCTTCAAATGATCTGTTGGTAATTTAAATTGTCTTAGTAGTTAAGGTTCTTATTGCTCTTAGGTACTGGTGAGCCAGTTCTCACTCATAGCTACTCATTTCATAGTGGAATGAAACTCCCTGGTTCTGTGACCTCCGCACAGTTGTTGCTATGTTTGAGCCCATTGTTGTAGCCATTGCTTTAATCCACCTGTTAAAGCCTTTGCTTTAATTCATCTTGTTGAGGGACTTCCTCTTTTTCACTGACTTTCTGGAAGCATGATGCCCCTTTTCAGGGAGTGCACCTTTCTGATAACACGCCCAAAATATGTGAAATGAATTTTAACCACCCTCACTTATAAGAGAATCTTGTAGTGGTTACGTGTTGGGCTGCTAACTGCAAGGTCAGCAGTTTGAAACCACTAGCTGCTCAAGACAAAGCGAAAGCTTTCTAAGAGTTACAGTCTCTTAAACTCACAGGGGCAACTCTATCCTGTCTTATACAGGGTCGCTGTGAGCCAGAATTAACTAATTAGCAGTGAGTTCATTGATAAGACTACGCCAATACAGTACTTCTCTCAAGACAGATTTGTTCCTTCTGACACAAGCCCATTCAGTATTCTTTGCCGACAGTGTAATTCAAAGGTTTTCCTTATTCACTACCCAGCTTTTGCATGCATAGAAGGCAAATGCCTGAGCTTGAGTTAAGCACTTGATCCACGCTCTCCCATATACTTTTATTTATAATGAGATGATTGGCATTGAGGTGACATCGCTCCTTTGCTCCCTCTCTCTTTTGGGAACACTTTAAAGAAATCTTTTGTAGCAGATTTGATCAAAGCAATGTCTTCAATATCTTGATTGCTGCTTTCATAGCTTATGATTGTGGATCCAAGTAAAAGGAAATTTTTGACAGCTTCAGTCATTTCTGTGTGTGTCATGATGTTACTTTACTGGTCTGTTGTGAGGGTTTTTGTTAAAGCATAATACACACTGGTGGTTTTAGTCTTTGCTCTTCATCAGTAGGTGCTTTAAATCCTCTTAGCTTTTAGCAAGCAAGATTTAGTCATCTCTTTATTAATATGTCTTCCTTCAATCTCAAAATCACTTTCTTCATGTAGTACAATATCTCAGTTCATTTGTTCAGTTGATTGCGTATTGAATACGTGGACACCCTAATGTTCAATGATTATGCATTGAACTGCTTAACACCAAGGTCAGCAGTTTGAAACCACCACCTGCTCTATAGGAGAAAGCCAAGGCATTCTACTCCCATAAATAGTTGAAGTCTTATGAGTCACAATCAGCTTAATGGCAGTGAGTTTTTTATTTGGTGTCTTAAATAGTAGAACCCAAATTACATTTTGATGACAATTTTATCTGTGGGGAATGTTTTTAAATTCCTTTTAATTTAGTGAAAACACCTTGGTTTTATAGAAAATATGAGGTAAGCAACAGATTTCAAAAAACCTTTTTTCCTGCTGTAGTAAATTTAAGTTATAAGTTCTTGGAATTCTTGGATGTTCAGATATATTGAAAAGACAAAACTACCTCACATTAATTATTAATCTGGTTTTTGGCTATGCTGTTTTTGTTTTTAGGAGTCACATGATGCATTGTTGGAATTTGGTAACAATAACCTACAAATATTGGTTCAAGTTGCCAAGGAAGGTGTGTGGAAAAACCCAGTTCTTCTTAAAATCCTGTCTCAACAGCCAGTAGAGACAGAAGAAGGTAAGCCTTAAAATTGTACTGATCGTGGGAGAGGAAGATTTAATTCTAAAAGAATTGAGGTCGATTAATTTTTCTGTTTTTCTTTCTGTAGTAAATGTTAGCTGTCAGCAGTTAGTATTTTGCTTATGTAACTAATTATTCTTGTATTTTAAAGTAGTCTTTTACGTCTCCGTTACTATTTTTGAATGCTACATTATGTAACATTAAGCACAAAGCTCCTGAGGGAGAAACTGATAATTTGCTTTTCGTTATTGGTATATGGTACAGATTATACCTTGTTCACTGGTTACAATTTAGGGTTATAAAAATGTACGTTTGTATTTTATACTTAAGAAATATTAAGCATTTTGTAGAAAAAAGCAAAGAATGAAAAATTGCCACTCTACTTAAAGATTTATGGATTTGAATTATTTGTATTTTAGGTACCTACACAAAAACATCTTAGTGTATGTAGCCAATTGTAATTTCTTCTTT